AAGAAAGAAAGAAAGAAAGAAAGAAAGAAAGAAAGAAAGAAAGAAAGAAAGAAAGAAAGAAAGAAAAACAAACGTGGGACCAGCAGATGGTGAAATGGTTGTGTAGCTGCACTCCCACATAGTCAACGATGGTTTGAATCCTGGACCTGGTTGCTTAAACTCTCCAGACGCATGTGCATGACTGTCCAAGATCCCAAGAGGAGAATGGAGGAGAAGGGAGTGCGGAGTGGCCATGCCCCCTTGGAGGATAATTTCTCACTTCTGTCTCTCTGTCTTTCCCTGACTCTCTCACGACCGCAATTTCCCAATAGCAAAAAATGTCTCCTAAAGGAAAAAACAGTACTCTCAGTGTTCAGGGCATAAGGTAGTGCCCTGGATACAGGGGTGGTGGAATTTATGAGGTGACTGTGTGCAGTGTCCTGTGGCCTCAAAGTGCCTGAAAAAGGAAGAGTCTTTGGATCCAGATTACAAAGGCCCCCTCTCTGCCATCATTAAGCGACTGAAATATTTTTGACAGTTAAGTGATATGGGATTGACAGGCCATGGACTGCCCATATTTAATATGTCTAAATTAGTATGTTTTCTTATTTCTATAAACCTCATCAAAATCAATACCAAATCAAGAAAATTAAACATTCGCACATCTGCAAAATTTACCCGTGTCCCTTTGAAATCCTTCCCTCCAACTACCTTCTCACTCCAGGTAACCACTGATTTGTTTCCTCCCATGGCATTTTAGATCTTATTTTAAGAAAATGTATAATTAACATCGGAGGAGATACATGATCTTTCTGGGATCTTTTATAGGCATGTTTACAAATGCAATCCATGTTCGTGCTTGTGTGAATAATTCACTTCTGGTATTAATGTTCCACTTCATGGATCTATCACAAAGGTTCATCCAAATGCCTACTGGAGGGCAGTGGGGACGAGTGACCATTCGCGGCTACTGCAGATCACGCTGTTCTGAGCACGCACAGAGTCGCCTTCGTGAGTGTATGATTTTATCTTTGATAGACTCAGGACACTCTGACAGGCTCAGGTTTAAGCTTTTCAGAAACTGTCCCTTGTCCATGGTGGTTTCACCATTTCTCACACTTTCCAGCCGTGTGGGAGAGTTCTCATGGTGCCCCCAGTTTGCCAACCCATGGCATGGCAGAATTTGTTTTAATTCCAGAGGGCACAGGTACATGTGAGAGAATGAGAGAGAGAGAAAGAGAGGGAGGGAGGGAGAGAGAGAGAGAAGGAAGAAGGCACCCACCAATGGGGCTTGATCACCTCACACTCTCTTCTCCACTTCTACATGCTGGAGGGGTTTGGGGTGCCCACACTGACCACCCTAGTATGCTTTTCAAGTGACCAGGGGCCCGTATTTGAAAGGTAGTCGCCATGTGAGATCCAGATCACCGACCACCAGAACACTTTCACAAAGTGCAGCCAATAATATTTGTCTTCAGCACCAGGTGCCCAGCAACACACAAATCTCCAAA